GCCTGGCTAATTTTTTGTATTTTCAGTAGAGACAGGGTTTCTCCATTTTGGTCAGACTGGTCTGGGTCTCCGTGATCTGCCCACCTTGGCCTCCCAAAGTGCTGGGATTACAGGTGTGAGCCACCGCATTCAGCTTGCGAATCACAATATTAAATGTGTCTGTCTTCTGCTTCGTCCCATAAATAAGCCCATAAAACATGATTAGTCTAATACATAGTTTTGGGAGTGAAGTCGTTAGTGAAACTACTTTGATTTCCTATTGAATCTCAAGGTGCATATCTGTTATATTTTAACAGATCATGTCTTCTAAACCATATAGATTCCAGCCTTTTTCAGTACTCTTAATTGTTTCATGAAACAGTAAAGTAGTTTATTCTTCTATAGTTTTGTTGTTTCTCAGACTTTAGTTATTTAGGATATGCATTCACATATTTTGCTGAGTCCCATCTGTACTGTCACCTGCCTAATATTTTTATTTAAATCAACTGCTTTTTTATATGTAAATGTGTGTATGTTTGTTTGTTTATTTATTTATTTATTTATTGAGAAGGAGCCTTGCTCTGTTGCCCAGGCTGGAGTGCAGTGGCGCCATCTCAGCTCACTGCAACCTCCACCTCCCAGATTCAAGTGGTTCTCCTGCCTCAGCCTTCTGAGTAGCTGGGATTACAGGTACCTGCTACCGTGCCCGGGGTATATTGTATTTTTAATAGAGACAGGGTTTCACCATGTTGACCAGGCTTGTCTTGAACTCTTGATCTTGTGATCTGCCTGCCTTGCCCTCCCAAAGTGCCAGGATTATTACAGGCGTGAGTCACAGCGCCTGGCTGTAAATGTGTTTTTAAAAGAGATAGCATTAATTGGAAACCAGCATTACTTGGCATAATAGAGGTTAACCCTATAAAGAAATATACTGGAAACTATAATAATAAAAAAATCATTAAATTCTTGTTACCTACTATATATTCTGAGCACATGGCTTTGCTGTCTTTCTTTTAAAGAAGAAAGCTAGAAAATACTAGAGTAACATTAAAGACATATCATCAAAGACTGTACCTAAAAGTATCTTCTATAATACCATTTGAGGGAAAAAAAGTAGATATATTTTTAATAAAAATGTATTTTTATTTTAAAAAAATTATATATAGAGAGAGACAGACAAACAGACACACAGATGGGGGTCTTGCCCTGTCATCCAGGTTGGAGTGTAGTGGCATGATCATGGCTCCCTGCAGCCTCGACATCTCAGGCTCAAGTGATCCTCCCATGTCAGTCTCTCATAGCTGGAATCATAGGCGTGTGTCACCACACCTGGTTAATTTTTTTTTTATTTTCAGTAGAGGCGAGGTCTGGCTATGTTGTCCAGGCTAGTCTTGAACTCCTGGGCTCAAGCAGTCCTTGCATCTTGGCCCCACAAAGTGCTGAGCCGCTGCAAAGGCTTGAGCCGCTGCATCCTGCCAGGAAATACTGACATATAACAAATTTTCTAATCTTTTAAAATAAATGGACCTGACTCAGGTAACTGCTACTTAAGGAAGTGTGTGTAGTTTTTTTCTCTATTTATAAAGAAGATCCCATGTTGGCACTTTTAAATTTTGATTTTTCTCCTTTTTCTCTTTACCTTCCTTTCCCTTGCACACATTTAAGTAAACCATCACATATTTAGTGCATATATTAAAGATTGTTTTCATTGTCTGAATTAGTTTTTGAATCACTCTCTAAAAGTTAATTTGAAGAAAAAAGTTGAAAATTAAGAATGCATTAACATATTTGTTTCTTAATTCATGTATGATAGATTAATATGGCCGGGTGCGGTTGCTGATGCCTGTAATCCCAGCACTTTGGGAGGCCAAGGTGGGTGGATCACCTGAGGTCAGGAGTTTAAGACCAGCCTGGCCAACATGGCGAAACCCAGTCTCTACTAAAAATACAAAAACATATTAGCCGGACATGATGGTTGCATGCCTGTAATCCCAGGTACCCTGGAGGCTGAGGCAGAAGAATCGCTTGAACCCAGGAGGCAGAGGTTTCAAGTGAGCCGAGATCTTGCCATTGCACTCCAGCCTGGGCAACAAGAGTGAGACTCCATCTCAAAAAAAAAAAAAAAAAAGATAGATGAGTATTTTTTGTTTAAATTGCACATGATTATTTTCATGAAGTTTGGTCTTTGTGTTTTATTTAATATTTAAGAGTAGTCCTGGATTTTCTATATAATTTTTTCATCTAAATGTTACGAGCATGACTTTCTGTTAGAAATATGATATTTTTTTGTGTGGGCAGAGTGCCTGTTTGATAGAAAATCACATGTTAAGCTAAAGTCTTTTGTTTCATTTGTTTGTTTTTTTTTTCTCTTTAGTAGCAAACTTTTTAAGTTTTATTTATTGTTAAATAAACCCACCAATTTTTATTTGTTAATGTTAAATAAGCTCACCAATTTGAATAGTAATGTTAGACCAGTTTCATTTATGCTTACTATTACCATGATTCCTACCTCTTTATCTCTCTGATCTAAAAAAAAATCTAGATTACTCATACTGTTTTTTCCTGTGTCTTTAGTATTTCGAAATATCTCTTCCAATCAGTAAAGGGTATCTTTAAGTACTATTAATGGTTTGAAATCTCTATTAATTCATATCTTCTGCATTAAATTTCTGCTTTTTCTTTTTGTTTTAAAAGCATCTTTTGCCTCTTCTAAGCCAGGTTTATTTCCCTGCTTCTTTGATGTCTCTTAATTTCATTTCATTTTGGGGGTTTTATGCAATTTTTTCCTTCTGAAAAATAATTCCCACAAACCTTTAAGCTTTGCTTATTTGTTGGTGAATTTTAAAAACCAAAAAGCCCTTTATAAACCAAGGATTTTTAGTTCTTTATCTTCCTCAGGTGGTATAAGCTTAGAAATTCAGTCATAACTCTCTAGTAAGTGTTATGAGCTTTAATTTTAAAGTTAAATTGTGCAGGATCTGGATTTTATTTAAAAAAATAAAGAAGAGGCCAGGCACATTGACTCATACCTGTAATCCCAACTCTTTAAGAGGCCAAGGCAGGAGGATTGCTTGAGCCCCAGGAGTTCGAGACCAGCCTGGGCAACATAGCAAACCCCATCTCTAGGAAAAAAAAAAAAAGTGTGCACCTGTGGTCCCAGCTACTTGGGAGGCTGAGCCTGGGAGTTCAAGGTGGCAATGAGCTGTGATTGCACCACTGCACTCTAGGCTGGGCGACAGAGTGTGATCCTGTCTCAAAAGAATAAAGTTGAAGCATAATTTTATCATAAATGATCTCTTTAACAAAGGAATCCAGATTTAGAGAGATACCCACGTTTTTCTTTAGGCAAAAGTATTATCTCTTTAAATGTGCCTCTTGACAATTGGTACTCTATTTTTTTTACCATTCTAAATGTAAAGCTCCATAATGTCTGGCTGTTCTCAGCCATAAATAATGTATTATGAAACTACAGAATTTTAGCAACTTTATAATCCGAATTAGAAGTTATTTGCAGCAAGGTCAGATTCTGTGTCTTAATGACTGGGCATGGTGGCTCATGGCTGCAATCCCAACACTTTGGAAGGCCGAGATGGCAGGATCGCTTGAGGCCAGGAGTTTGAGACTAGCTTGAGCAACAAAGCAAGACCCTGTCTCTGCAAAGAATAACATAATTAGCTAGGCGTAGTGACACATCCCCGTAGTCCCAGCTACTTGAAAGGCTGAGGCAGGAGGATCTCTTGAGCCCAGGAGTTTGAGAGTGCAGTGAGCTATCATTGAGCCACTGCACTGAAGGACTGAAGGTAACAAGTGCAACCCTGTCTCTCTTAAAAAAAAAATTAGGCTGGGTGCGGTGGCTTATGTCTATAATCTCAGCACTTTGGGAGGCTGAGGAGGGCAGATCGCTTGAGGTCAGGGGTTTGAGACCAGCCTGGGAAACATAGTGGAACCCTGTCTCTACCCAAAAATACGGAAATAGGCCAACTCTGCTGGTGCACACCTGTAGTCGCAGCTACTCAGGATGCTGAGGTGGGAGAATTGCTTGAACTAGGGAGGCGCGGAGGTTGTAGTCAGTTGAGATTGTGTCATTGCACTCCAGCATGAGCAACAAAGCAAGACTGTGTCTTAAAAAAAAGTATGAATACTTTTTTTCCTGCATGTGTTAAAGGGGAATTTTGGTACTATGTTTCCATTTCCTGTTTTTCAGAAAATGCTGCTCAAATTCCAGTGGCTACTCCACAGGTCTCTCCTAACACAGTAAAACGTGCTGGACCTCGACTGTTGTTGATTCCAGTGCAGCAGGGTTCTCCTACTCTTAGACCTGTCTCAAACACACAACTTCAGGGACATCGAATGGTCTTGCAGCCTGTTAGGAGTCCAAGTGGAATGAACCTATTCAGGCACCCTAATGGGCAGATTGTCCAGCTTCTACCTTTGCATCAGCTTCGAGGCTCTAATACCCAGCCCAATTTACAGCCTGTCATGTTTCGGAACCCAGGTATAAAGTTATTTTTCATGAACTTTTCTTTTGTTAAATCACTTGGCCATATGGTATGTTAATACACCAGGACATCGGAAGTCTTGATATGGGCAGTCATGATTTAAAAATTTCTCTCTTATTTTTTAAACCAGGGTCTGTGATGGGAATCCGGTTACCTGCTCCTTCCAAACCCTCTGAGACTCCGCCATCTTCCACTTCGTCTTCTGCTTTCTCTGTCATGAATCCTGTAATCCAAGCTGTTGGGTCTTCTTCAGCAGTGAATGTTATCACTCAGGCACCGTCATTGCTTTCCTCTGGAGCTAGTTTTGTGTCTCAGGCTGGTACATTGACCCTGAGGATTTCTCCTCCTGAACCACAAAGCTTTGCAAGTAAAACAGGCTCTGAAACCAAAATAACCTATAGCTCAGGAGGACAGCCTGTTGGTACAGCCAGTCTTATTCCTCTCCAGTCTGGTAGTTTTGCCTTGTTACAGCTCCCAGGACAAAAGCCTGTTCCTAGCTCCATTCTTCAACATGTTGCTTCCCTTCAGATGAAGAGGGAATCTCAGAATCCAGACCAGAAAGATGAAACAAACTCAATAAAAAGAGAGCAAGAAACCAAGAAGGTTCTACAGTCAGAAGGAGAGGCTGTAGACTCTGAGGCTAACATAATAAAACAAAACTCAGGAGCTGCTACCTCAGAAGAAACTCTGAATGATTCCTTGGAAGATAGGGGTGATCATTTGGATGAAGAATCCCTTCCAGAAGAAGGTTCTGCAACTGTCAAACCATCTGAGCATTCCTGTATCACTGGGTCACATACAGATCAAGACTATAAAGATGTTAATGAAGAATATGGGGCTAGGAATCGTAACAGTTCCAAAGAAAAAGTGGCTGTTCTAGAAGTTAGGACCATTTCTGAAAAAGCCGGTAATAAGACCGTCCAAAATTTAAGTAAAGTACAGCATCAAAAACTTGGTGATGTGAAGGTGGAACAGCAGAAAGTATTAGACAATCCAGAAGAAAACTCAAGTGAATTTCCAGTCACCTTTAAGGAAGAAAGTAAATTTGAATTGTCAGGAAGCAAAGTTATGGAGCAGCAGTCTAATCCACAGCCAGAGGCCAAAGAGAAGGAATGTGGAGACTCTCTGGAGAAAGACAGTATTAGAGAAAGATGGAGAAAACATCTGAAGGGCCCCTTAACCAGGAAATGTGTTGGAGCTTCACAGGAATGTAAGAAAGAGGTAGACGAGCAGTTAATTAAAGAAACAAAGACATGTCAGGAAAATTCAGATGTGTTTCAGCAAGAACAAGGCATCTCTGACTTACTTGGAAAAAGTGGAATTACTGAAGATGCCAGAGTTCTGAAAACTGAATGTGATTCTTGGAGTAGGATTTCTAATCCTTCAGCCTTCTCCATTGTTCCTAGGAGAGCTGCAAAAAGCAGCAGAGGGAATGGACATTTTCAGGGTCACTTACTGCTACCTGGAGAACAGATACAACCAAAGCAAGAGAAGAAGGGTGGGAGAAGCAGCGCTGACTTCACTGTTTTGGATTTGGAAGAAGATGACGACGATGAGAATGAGAAAACCGATGATTCCATTGATGAAATTGTGGATGTTGTTTCTGACTACCAGAGTGAAGAGGTTGATGATGTAGAAAAAGTGGTGAGCCCATTTTTGTTGTGACTGAAACCTAAAGGATTTAAATGATTTATTAGAGACAGAAGCTTTTTCAGAAGATCACTAAGACATAATACATTTAATTGGATGCCTAGGTTTAGATTATGACTTAAATGGCTTAGTAGTTTTTTAGGCTGTGTCAATCAAGCATCACTTATTGAGCTTTTATTCTTTGAGACTTGCCTGGTTTTATGGGAAGGCTGGTTTAAGCATTTGAGGGATAGGTGCTTGAGAGTTCCTACTCTTTTTAAGTTAGATTTTTAAAATCCCGAAACCACTACTCCTATTTGATCCCAGTCAATTTCTGTGACGTTTTCTATGTGAGATGGTTGTAGCTTCTCTGGTAGATGTTAATCAGAAACTGGGAATGGGTGACCTTACAACTGGAAGAGAACTTCCTTGCATATAGAGAGATGTTTTTGTTTTTGGAGAAAAACTGGAAAATACCATCTTTTGATATTCTAATACCATTTTGCCTTGAGTTGCTTTTATTTGTAGTCTCTGGAATTTATATTCTAGACTTTGGTCATCGTCCTTTGTAATATGACCTTTATGGCCTAGTTTTATTATTTTCCCGAAGTGTTTTTTATAGGATTCCTTTTTAGGGTTGTCGTATTTACTGAAATAAGTAACTGTCAGGTATTGATACAGCGCAGGAGTTGTACAAATGTTTTCTGTAAAAGGCCAGATAGTAAATAGTTTTAGACTTTGCAGAGAGCTAGAGGGCTCTCTGTTCCAACTACTTGACTACTGTTGTAGTATAAAAGCAGCTGTATTCCATTAAAACGTTAGTAAAAAAGGCCAGGTGCAGTGGCTCACACCTGTAATCCCAGCACTTTGGGAGACCGAGGTGGGTGGATCACCTGACATCAGGAGTTTGAGACTAGTCTGGCCAACATGACAAAACCCCATCTCTACTAAAAATACAAAAAATTAGCTGGGTGTGGTAGCAGGTGCCTGTAATCCCAATACTCGGGAGGCTGAGGCAGGGGAATTGCTTGAACCCAGGAGGCGGATGTTGCAGTGAGTCCAGATCACGACATTGCACTCCAGCCTGGGTGACAAGAACAAAACTCCGTCTCGGGGAAAAAAACCACAACTTAAAAAAAAAAAAAAAAAAAAGTTAGTGGGCTGTGGGTTGCTGACGCCTGACGTAAGGTCTGATTTTAAAACATGGGGAGATCATAACCAGCTGCCTGTGGAGTGCCCTAAAATCTGAACTGTAGCCTTCTCTTCAGGAGCAGATGAAAGCCATCTGCACTGATTGTCATACAACTGCTTGTTTTAGAATCGCACTTCCTTGAGATTCATTCTGCCTCTGTTATCTGGTGCTTTTCTGTTAATGCTTAATTGCTTTATGTAAATAAAATAAAACAAAAAAGATTACTGTTTTAAAAATTAAAATGTTGAAATATTTTATTTTAGAGACGGAGTCTTGCTCTGTCGCTCAGGCTTGAGTGCAGTGGCGCGAACTCGACTCACTGCAACCTCCGCCTCCAGGGCTCAAGCAGTTCTCCTGCCTCAGCCTCCCGAGTAGCTGAGATTACAGGAGCCCACCACTGCACTCTGCTAATTTTTGTCTTTTAAGTAGAGATGGGGTTTCACCATCTTGGCCAGGCTGGTCTTAATGTTGTTATGTTGGTTATTTCAGTACCTCCATTGTCTCATTTATAAAGGAGGATCTTGCTCTGAAATTGGATGATTCTATATTCATTTGAGTTATACTTTCTCTTTAGGCTAATCTTTTTCAAGAATGGATGTAAATTCATTGACTTTAGCAGTTATATTGCAGATTTTTTTGTGTTTTTTTTACAGCCGAAGTAAACGTGAGACCAAAAAACAGTTCAACTTTAAAACCAGTGAAAACTGTTATTACTGTTAGGGGAACTGATATAATAGATCTTCTAAAGTAGGTTTTTTCCTTATTTCTTTTTTTGACTGAGTCTTGCTGTGTCGCCCAGGCTGGAATGCAGTGGTGCCATCTCGGCTCACTGCATCGTCTGCCTCCCAGGTTCAAACGGTTCTTCTGCCTCAGCCCCCTGAGTAGCTTAGGATTACAGGCGGGCACCAGCATGCCCAGATAAGTTTCGTGTTTTTTTAGTAAGGACAGGGTTTCACCATATTGGCCAGGCTGGTCTCGAACTCCTGACCTCAGGTGATCCACCCACGTTGGCCTCCCAAAGTGCTGGGATTACAGGCGTGAGCCACTGTGCCCAGCCTGAAGTATCTTAATTATACAAGGAGGCATTGCCTGAATGTACTAATAGGGAATTTGACAAGCAAACGAGTTACACTTTTTTTTTTTAAAGGTCATATTAAGTGATCTCTAAAATCTAAACATTGTTTTTATTTACACATCTCACACCTATGTTACCTTTATGATTAGCATTGGAATACCGTGAGGGAAGTGGTGAATAGCTTCTTTAATTTAAATCTTCCTTGTGGAAGTTAATCCACAAATCTTCCTTGTGGATGTTATTTAGAGATCCTGCAGTTACACCAGGTGCTGTAGCTCTCTCCTGTAATCCCAGCACTTTGGGAGGCTGAGACAGGCAGATCACCTGAGGTCAGGAGTTTGAGACCAGCCTGACCAACATGGTGAAACCCTGTTAGTAAACAATACAAAAATTAGCTAGGTGTGGTGGCACAGTCCTAGAGTCCCAGCTGCTGGGGAGGCTGAAGCAGGAGAATCATTTGAGCCCGGGAGGCGGGCTCGTTTACTATGTTTCTGGCATAGTAAACAGTTTTTTTTTTTTTTTTTTTTGAGGGGGGCACAGAAATGTTGCAAGTAAACACTATTTTTAAAGGTGGCCTTAAAAAGATCTGCTTATCCCATATATCCATATAACTCTAGTGTTACATAAAATATTTAGCAAGTTTCTGTGACAGGTGCCCAGTAAACACTTTGATTGACTCCTTTTTTGGTATAATAAGGAAATCCAGCAATCCTGGGCTTTTTTGAAACCTGAAATTCCTTACAGGCTCTGAATTTGTGGGATTTAGAGAGTTGCAGGACTGGGCTGTATCCTATTTCCATACCTGCCTGTGTATGCTAATGTGTGTTGATTTGTGGGCATCTGATAGGATGTTGGTCATGAAGCCCCCTTAAAGTGACACTTGAATTTTTCTCCTTTCTATGTTTATCTCACCAAATTTTATTTTACTGTTATTTAATCTTGAGATTTATGAAACCTTAATATATCTGTACCTGAATTTTGTCCACTGGAAATAACACTGAAGCATCAATGCAGTCCTTTGAGGACGCTGTTAAGTTTAATGATGTCTGTCTATTTATTTTTTATTTTATTTTTTTGAGACAGTCTCACTCTTGTCTCCTAGGCTGGTGTGCAGTGGTGCAGTCTTGGCTCACTGCAGCCTCGAACTCCTGGCCTCAAGCAGTCCTCCCACCTCACTCTCCCAAGTAGCTGTAATTATAGGCGAGCGCCACCATGTCTGGCTGATTTTTGTATTTTTTGTAGAGACAGAGTTTTGCCATGTTGCCCAGGCTGGTCTTGCACTCCTGAGCTCAAAACGATCCACCTGCCTGGGCCTCCCAAAGTGCTGAATTATAGGTGTGAGTTGAAAAGTTTAGGCGTTCTTGCTAATCAATACATTATTTACTTTTGTAATGATGTATTTCAGACTAACTGTGTAGAATATATTGAGGATGACGAGGAGCACGTGGACATTGAGACTGTAGAAGAGCTCTCAGAGGAAATTAATGTTGCTCACCTGAAGACCACAGTGGCCCACACACAGTCATTCAAACAGCCGTAAGTCTTATTGCTCTTTGGATTGTTGTTTTTGTAGCGTTGTAACCAGAAATAAAATGAAATGTTCTGTTTAGGAGCTCTGGGTAACTGATCTGGTTCCTTCTTCCTCTAGCTTTTTTTCTGATTAGTATAGATGAGGAGAGGAACTAGAATTTGGATAATTTTCTTTGGTCATTGGTAGGAGGCAGTGTGTAAATGTGAATAACATGCTTGTGGAGCCCGATAGACTGGTGTTATAAAATACTAGTTTTGCTAGTTTGCAGGTATTTAACCTTGGGCAAATCTTTAATCTCTCTGAACCTCAGATTCTTTACCTATGAAATGAGGAAAATGCCCCCATTTGAAGTGTTAAATGAGGTAGTATATACAACTAGCATAATAACTGATATAAATGGACTACTCAACAAAAGTTAGTTTCTTGTATCATTTAAGAATAGGCATTACATTCTAAATTTGGTTACTTTACTAGTTGAACAGATGAGATACAGGTAGGAAAATTTTTCTTCGTATTTCACTGGTGAGATGAAAATGTGGAAGGAATGATGACTTGCTCAGGAAAATTTATTTCATTTTCTGTTTTAGTAAGCCTTATATTGATTATGGATTGGGGTGTGAGAAAGAGTAGGGAAGGAAGATATTTTGTGCCAGACATTGTACTTTTCCTGTCGTCTCATTAACTACAATGATACGAAAGTAGCTATGAGCTGAGAAAGAATAATTCTTCGTTCCTACTGATACTGAGAAAGTTGAAGGAATAGAAAGTAGGACTGATAGTTCTCTTCACTCCGGAGCTGTTTGCAGGCTACTTCAGTTACCTACTGGCTAAACTTGAAAGAATTTAAAGCCCTTAAAAACTTAATTAGACTTAATGAGTTTAGCAGTATTGCTGGGATAATGAGTTCTGTATACTAAAACTGAATTTGTAAACAATGGCAACAAACAAAACCTCTAAAAAATATTTGCAATAGTAACAGGAAAACTGCTGTGTGAGAATGTTCTCTGACAAGCTGTGTAAGAGTTTTCTTAGAAAATTGTATTGAAAGACGAAGAGGAATTCAACAAATGGGGAGAGATAACATGTTAATGGATTGGAATAGTAAAGGGCCAAGAATAACCAACACACAGCACAAAAACCGTAAGGGAACAGATTAAAGTAAAAAACTAAAGATTTAGGCTGGGCGTGGTGGCTCACGCCTGTAATCCCAGCACTTTGGGAGGCCGAGGTGGGCAGATCACCTGAATTCAGGAGTTCAAGACCAGGCTGGCCAACATGATGAAATCCTGTCTCTACTAAAAATACACAAATTAGCCGGACTTGTTGGCACACCCCTGTAGTCCCAGCTACTTGGGAGGCTAAGGCAGGAGGATCGCTTGAACCTGGGAGGTGGAGGTTGCAGTGAACTGAGACTGTGCCACTGTACTCCAGCCTGAGAGACAGTGAGACTACATCTCAAAAAAAAAAAAAAAAAAAAATTAAAGATTTAATTAGATTTGTTTAAATTGTTTAAATTTAATTAAAAATAAAGGTTAAAAGAATTTAAAAATTCTGTCAGAACACCGTGAAAACAGTGAAAAGGCAAACTCAGACTATGAAGAAAGTGTTTGCCATACATATTAACTAACAAAGGATTAATGTCGAGGGTATAAAAAAATTGTTACAAGTCACAAAAAGATGACCCAGCAAAAAAGTAAATAATGGATATTAGAGACAGTTGACAGAAGAAGAAACCTAAAAGCCCAGTAAACACATGTACATTTGTTCAACTTCACGAGTAATTAGGGAAATGCAGATAAAACCACAGTGACTTTACCAATTCACACTCATGAGACTGCAAAAATGGAGATTTCTGATAGTACAGTTATCTAGGTTTGGAGCAATGGGAACTCTCATACAGCAAGTGGGAGTGTACATTGTATTACCAGTTTAACAGTTCCTGAACTTGAAGGTGTGCATATCTTTCTTTTGCCTGGCAATTCTGCTCCTATGCCCTAGAAAAATTCACACAAGGGGTCGTGTATGGGACTGTCCATTGCAGCATTGTTTGCTATTATGAAGATTTAGAAACAACCTAAATAACTACAAACATTCTGGAAAAAAAAAATTCGGGAAAATTCACATTGTGGAATACTATGTAACAGTTAAAACAATTGGAATTAGAACTCTGTGTATCAGCGTATATCAGGTGTAATTTATTTGTACTTTTATTTTCAATTTTTTTTTTTGTAGAGACGGAGTCTTGCTATGTTGCCCAGGCTAGTTTTGAACTCCTGGCCTCAAGCAGTCCTCCTGCCTTGGCCTCCTAAAGTTCTGGGATTACAGGCATGAGCTACTGTGCCTGGCCTTCAGGTCGAATATTGAATGAAACCAATGAGTTGCAGAAAGATACAGTATAGTATATAATATTTAAAGTAGTACTTTTTTTTTTGTTAAGATATATATATATTTCTAGTAAAACTTACAAAGATGTGCATGGTAAAACTCTGTCTTAGAATGTTTACCTTTGAGAAGGAGGGAAGGGAATGTGATTGAGTGGACTGCACATAAAACCTGTATTTTTGAGATGTATTATTTCTCAAGCTAGATGGTTCATATGTGGGTGTTCATTATACACTTGGTCCTCCTTCACAGTTGGGAGGGACCAAGTGTATAATGGAAAAGCATGTATCCACAAATATAGAAAGCATGTATTTGTGGATTCACCCAACTGTGGATTGGAAATATCTGGAAGAAGAAAAATTGCATCTGTATTGAACATGTATAGACTTTATTGTCATGTCATTATTCCCTAAACAATACAGTATAACAACTATTTACTTAGTTTTTACATTGTACTAGGTGTTATAAGTAATGTAGGGGTGATTTAAAGTATATGGGAGGAGGTACCTATGTTATATGCAAATACTATACCATTTTATATCAGGGACTTGAGTATTCAAGGATACTGCTGGAAGTTTTGGAACGAGTCTTCCATGGATACTGGAGGATGACTTTAAATTTGTTTATATGGTTTTGTGTATTAAATATTTCATGATTGTACAAAGTAATTTGAAGTTTTAGTGACTATCTGTACACTTTTAGAGAAAATATGTAATGTCAAGTAAATAATGTGGCTGTATATCACACCTTGGGAAAAAGAAACTGTTTGTAATTTGGAATGGTTTGGTTGTAGCTGTGAAATATGTCTTAAGATTATTAAATTTCAGTAAGACACTGAAAAATCCTGTCTTTATCCAGGTCGCGTACTCACATCTCTGCAGATGAAAAAGCAGCTGAAAGGAGTCGAAAGGTATTTAGGATATATTTAGTGATAATTACTCATTGAATAAAATTGTTAACATTTATTTTAGGGTTGAAACAACATTAGCTATATTAGCCACGATTTTTTCTCAGGGCTATTTTTGCCAGTGAGTTAATATAATCAGTTTTTTCTCCTTAATGAAATTATACTACTAAGGTCCTTTTTTTCCCCCTTTTAATTCTTCTCCTCAGAGGATAGACTAATTTAGAGGAGTTAAAAATGGATATGAAATTTATGAGAATATATGTGCTTATTTGAAAACTGTTCTTGTAATGGTTTGATGTAAAACAAGCTGCCATTCTTTCTTGCCTGGGCTCATGATTTTCAGTGATTTAAAAAACTCTCCTCTGCAAAATGGCTAGCAGTTCAGGGATCCATGAAACAATAAACCTTTAATTTTCTTAATCTTTTTGGTATATATCATAGTAACATAATTAAGCAGGGTTTTCTGTTTTTCCTAACCAACAGTAGGCATGGAGGAGAGTTTGGTTTGTTTAAATTGTTTTCCACTTGTTTTTTTATCTTAATTTAAAAGATTAAAAAATGTCAATGATGGCTTGGGTTGAAGTAGAGGGTGGCATTTGGTTCCTTTAAAAAATCTTAGTACAGTTTGGTTTTGATCTGATTTGGGGACTCACGATACAACGTATTTGCATGGTTGTAATTATTTGCATGTATCATTATATTTGGCTTTTAAAAATTTATTCTGAAGCATTTTTCAGATATAACAGGAATTTTCATAACAGCTTATTTACGTAATCCATTGTTTTTGTACCCAAATAATTATATGCAAATTCTTGCTTCACTTTGCTATATTTAATGTTTATATTGCCTTTCTTTCTGTCTTGTTGGCTCTTTTATTCTCCCATTCTATCTTAATGCATAATAGGTTTAACTTTAGAAAGGCAGTGGCTTTTCCATGAGAGTTTTTGGGTACTGTCAGAGTTATGATTAAGCAAACAGTGTCAGAAAAAGAGACAATTAGAAACGTCAGAGGGAAAAAACACAAAACCAAGAAACTGCACAGGACAGGAAATATTATTCACTTTGTATGAGTAGTGTTTATAATGTCATAATAGTTAATGTTGATGTTTTTCAAAAATGTTTATAACCTATAATTAAAATATAGAAGACTTAATTTCAGTCTTGAAAAATGTGAGAATACATATGACAAATTGGGAGGTGAGAGAGGGAAGAAGAAATAAAGGGAAGAATACAGGTGCTGATACCCTCATTTTACAAAGTAGAAAGGCAAGATAGATTGTTTATTCTTGACGAAATAAGAAATTAAGGTAGAATTCAAGTTGCTAAGGGATCAGTAGAACAACTAAAAGTAGTGATGTAACTATATTGGAATGATAAGGTGGTATAAGACATGAGAGTGATATGAGCTCAATCCTCTTCTGCATAGCAAGAAGGCAGTAGATAGCATTGAAAATAGAAAAAAAATAAGCTTATGTTACTATTTTTGGTTTAGGATAATAGATTTAAGAACTAGAAGAAGCTGCTGAAAGAATTAAAAAGTGATTATTTCTGAGGATCCAGGTACAAGTTCAGGGCATAGTTGCTTTTCATTATCAGCGTGTGTGTGTGCGTGTGTGTGTGTGTGTGTGTGTACAAGTTCAGGGCATAGTTGCTTTTCATTATCAGCGTGCGTGTGTGTGTGTGTGTGTGTGTGTGTGTGTGTGTACAAGTTCAGGGCATAGTTGCTTTTCATTATCAGCGTGTGTGTGTGTGTGTGTGTGTGTGTGTGTGTGTGTGTGTACAAGTTCAGGGCATAGTTGCTTTTCATTATAAGCGTGTGTGTGTGTGTGTGTGTAGATGAAGTCTTACTGTGTTGCCTGTGTTAGTCTCAAACTCTTGGCCTTAAGTGATCCCCTACCTCGGCCAAAGTGCTGGAAATTACAGATTTCAGCCACTGTGCCTGGCCAGCCTCTTCATATATTTTAAGTCCTATAAACAAAGATTGTAATGGAATAAATAAGATAGAGAAAGGAGGCCTTAAGCCTTTCTGAGGATCAAGAAGGACTTTCCTGAAAAAGTTTGAGTTTGAAGTGTTAAGTTTTAAATGTTATGGAGGTTTAGGTAAGAGGTGGGATAAGTAATCTAGGTACAGGTAAAAAGCCTGTGTAATGGCAGGGAGGTGTGGGATTGTGTAGCATGTCTTGGGAATTTCTAGCAGATAGGAATGGTTGGAGAGAAAGGGGATTTAGAAGAGTGGCAGTTGATTCTTTACCAGATTGAGGAGGATCTTACAGTATTTTTTGAAAAACAGTTAATGTAATTTATATCATGAAAACAAGTTTTAGTAATATAATAAATTACATAAGTAAGCTCTTTCAGATCTTCTACGCCTGTAACATACACAATTTCTTCCTTGTTTGAAAATCACTGAAATTTGAACTAAGAGCTGGTAAGATCACTTCAGCATGCATTAGAAATTATACTATTGGCATTGTAAGAGTTAGATTTGAAGGAAAGATAGACTGGTAGTAAGATGACCAATTGAGAGGCTGTTACAACAGTCCAGACAAAAGGTAATGGGTGCCTGAAATAGGGCAGTGTCATTTGGAATAGAATAAGAGGGCCAATTACACGTTCAAGATGTTTAGGAGGCAATCTTGTTTGAACAGGCTCCACCAATTCCTCTAAAACTGAAGCCTGATTACTGGAGTGACAAACTACAGAAAGAAGCAGAAGCGTTTGCTTATTATCGCCGGACACACACTGCCAATGAGCGGCGGCGGCGTGGTGAAATGAGAGATCTCTTTGAGAAATTAAAGATCACATTGGGATTACTTCATTCTTCCAAGGTTTCTAAAAGTCTCATTCTTACTCGAGTAAGTGTTCTGTGTAAATGACAATAAGAGCTTGACTAAGAGATTCTTACTGGTGCTATGAGAAAGAGAATCCACTGACATATATAAGGAACATTGAAATAGAGCTACTTAAATGTAACAGTTGAATATGGACTACTGAATGCCCAATAAATCCCTTAGGGGGAAAATCATTATGCTAAGTCACAGGAGCTTTTCATTGAAAGTCAGGTTCTTTTTTTTTTTGAGACGGAGTTTTGCTCTTGTTGCCTAGGCTAGAGTACAATGGCACGATCTTGGCTCACCGCAACCTTTGCCTCGTGGGTTGAAGTGATTCTCCTACCTCAGCCTTCCAAGTAGCTGGGATTTCAGGCATGCACCACCACACCTGGCTAATTTTGTATTTTTAGTAGATCAGTAGTTAAGTTTGTATTTTTGTGTTTTTATTAAGAGACAGGGTTTCTCTATGTTGGTCAAGCTGGTCTCTAGCTCCCGACCTCCAGTAATCTGCCCACCTCTGCCTCCCAAAGTGCTGGGATTACAGGCATGAGCCACCACACCCAGCCGAAAGTCAGGTTCTTAAATGGGCACAGCTCTCCTTTCTTCAGATAGAGTCAGAAACTCTGGTTAGCCATGTTGACCATGAGACGTAAAGAATGTCTCTTTACGTTGGTGTTCTTGATAGCACTTAGTACAGGTTATCACAGTGTAAAGCATAGCATAAGTGATATTTTAATATGCTTAACAGTTGACAGTCATTTTAAAAGAAAATCTGAAATATTCAAGGGAGCAGAAGTTTTAACTTTGCGTGTAGAATATCTAAAGTATTTCATTTAAATTGTTCTTAAGTAGAAGCTGGAAGAGGACAAGATAAGCAGTCATATCCCTCTAGAGCAAAGTTATTTCAGCCAGATTTTGGTTAGACTAGAAGATGATCTTGAAGTTGATTATTAAAATCTAAGCAGAGCACAAGTGTTTTGTATCTCCTTGCAGTAGTGGAATACCTACTACCATTCAGTGATGCTCTTTGGAAATAATCATGGTCACGTTCCTTAAAAGTGTAAGCCAGAAACCCTCTTACAGTTTAACAAAAAATAATTTCTGAAACATCAACAATTGTTAATGGAATTTAAAAATTCTCTTAAGATGTTAGATTAAGTTTTTTTTTTTTTTTCATTAGAGAACTGTGTAGACCTTACCTGTGTTTAAAGAAAGAGTGAATCAATTTTCAATAATACCACTATTTCTATTCTAGGCCTTCAGTGAAATTCAGGGACTAACAGATCAGGCAGACAAATTGATAGGACAGAAAAATCTCCTGACTCGAAAAAGGAATATTCTCATACGGAAAGTATCGTCTCTTTCAGGTGAGATAAGTAAATAATCTCTGGTAAAGAGCATAATTATGGCTTCAGCAAGGAGAAATTCTCAGTAGATCTTTCAGATACTTAATTGAAAGCTTGACTCCCACAGTTCACAGCACAGTTATCCTCTGACTGGGTGGGTTGTTTCTTGTGAATTGTAATCACCTTACTTTCCATAGTTTTTGGGAATATTGTTAAAGCAACCAGATTTCCGTTGACTCTGTTTCTCATTATGTGGGGTAATGCAGAAAGTACTAATGTATTGTCTGTCAACCTATAGGTAAGACAGAAGAAGTGGTCCTGAAGAAGCTAGAGTATATTTATGCAAAACAACAAGCGCTAGAGGCACAAAAAAGAAAAAAGAAGATGGGATCAGATGAGTTTGACATGTCTCCCAGAATTAGCAAACAGCAGGAAGGATCTTCTACATCATGTGTAGATCTTGGACAGATGTTTATAAATAACAGGAGGGGGAAACCTTTGATTCTTTCCAGAAAAAAAGACCAGGCTACAGGTAGGAGGGAGATTCTTTGCTTTCCTTAATGTAGATTTGTATCAGTTGACTTTACTGGACTGACCATCTTCTCTTGTCCACATTTTTAGTTTTGTTTTTTTTTGTTGTTGTTGTTTTGTTTTTTGTTTTTGAGACAGCTCTGTCACCTAGGCTGCAGTGCAGTGATGTGATCTCAGCTCACTGCAACCTCCACCTCCCTGGTTCAAGTGATTATCCCGCCTCAGCCTCCTGAGTAGCTAGAACTACAGCGTGCACCACCATGCCCAGCTAATTTTTTAAATTTTTAGTAGAGATGGGATTTTGCCCTGTTGGCCAGGCTAGTCTCGAACTCTTGACCTCAAGTGATCCACCCACCTCGGCCTCCCAAAGTGCTGGGATTACAGGCATGAGCCACCACACCGAGCCCACAGTTTTAGTTTTAATTAAATGAATTAAAGATGGGTTGTATAAAAAATAGAATATTAGCTACATTAGATTTTGGTTTCTGGTTGTAATACGCACTCATGCAAATCCTGAGAAGTTACCAGTCCTGTTAACATATTAGTCTATAGTCATGTATTTTTAATGAGTAGTTTTTTAAACTTAATCTTTTCAGACTTTATACTTCGTGATTTCCCTACAGTTCTGCTGATGGGTTTAATAAGTTGGGTCTAGCTGAGACCAATAAATGGGAAATTTTTTGTAAAATTTAATTTTGTCAAATCAGGCTCTATTTTTCATCAGATCACTTACTAATACATTGCTATTAAGAAACAGTAGGCCAGGCACGGTGGCTTATGCCTTTAATCCCAGAACTTTGGGAGGCTGAGGTTGACAGATCACCTGAGGTCGGGAGTTTGAGACTAGCCTGACCAACATGGAGAAGCCTTGTCTCTACTAAAAATACAAAATTAGCCAGGTGTGGTGGTGCATGCCTGTAATCTCAGCTACTTAGGAGGCTGAGGCAGGAGAATCGCTTAAACCCTGAAGGTGGAGTGTGAGGTTGTGGTGAGCTGAGATCGTGCCATTGCATTCCAGCCTGGGCAACAAGCGCGAAATTCTGTCTCAAAAGAAAAATAAGAAAAAAGCCAAAGCCGAAGTAAATTGGTCTTAAATTCTTATTACCATCTTGATTTTGGAAGTAAAGCTATATTGATTTTATGTGTTACTTATATTCTTAGAGAATGGTATATCTGGCTGGGCACAGTGGCTCATGCCTGTAATCCCACCACTCAGGGAGGCAGAGACAGGAGAATTGCTTGCACTCAGGAGTTTGAGACCAGCCTTGGGCAACATGGTGAAACCCTGTCTCTACTAAAAATACCAAAATTAGCCGGGTGTGGTGGTGCACACCTGTAGTCCCAGCTACTTGGGAGGCCGAGGCAGGAGAGTCACTTGAACCTGGGTGGTGGAGGCTGCAGTGAGCCGAGATCACACCACTGTACTCCAGCCTGTGCGACAGAGTGAGACTCCATCTCAAAAAAAAAAAAAAGGTATATTCTTTTTTACTCTTTGGATGTTTGGATAGCCCAGTGTATGAGCCAGAAAAATCTGGTGTGGGTGTTTTGTTTTGTTTTGAGACAGGGCCCCACTCTGTAGCTCAGGCTGGAATGCAGTGTCTCGCTTGCAGCCTTGACCTCCTGGGCTCAAGCAATTCTCCCACCTTAGCCTTCCTAGTAGCTGGGACCACAGGTGCACACCACCACACCCGCTTAATTAAAAACAAATTTTCTTGTAGAGATGGAGATGGGGTCTCACCGTGTTGCCCAGGCTGGTCTTGAACTCCTGGGCTCAAGTGATCTGCCTGCCTCAGCCTCCCAAAGTGCTGGGATTAGAGGCATGAGCCACCACACCCAGCTGTGACTGCCTTTTATCTGTAACTAATTTCTGATCTTTCTTGCAGAAAATACCTCACCCTCGAACACTCCACACACCTCTGCCAATCTTGTGATGACTCCACAAGGGCAATTGCTCACCCTAAAAGGTCCCCTATTCTCAGGACCAGTGGTAACTGTTTCTCCTGATCTCTTAGAATCTGATCTTAAGCCTCAAGTTGCCAGTAGTGCTGTGGCTCTACCAGGTATGTCATAAGTGTTATCCTCTATGGGAAGTGATAAAGTTATCTCTAGCATCTCACAGTGACCAAGGAAGGCTTTGGATGTGTTCTGTAATGAAAAAGAGCTATTCCGTTGGCATTTGCCTTGGTAAGAGGTGGCCCTATTTTTAGAACATATTTGGCTTGAGTTACGGTACTGTTTGGTGTGTTTTACACCTGGTATTGAGCACCATTTTGTGAACTCTAGTAATTTCTAAGAGGAAGAATAAAAAAGATGTCAGAGGGAAAGGAAGATGTTAAATAATCACGGTCTTAGGTCTTGGTGTTGATAAATATTTGTCAGTTTCTTGTGGTACTCAGAGATGATAACACTCCTGCATTACGAGCCTCATTCACTTTGAGCACTACTCTGTTTTGGGGCAAAGAGTAAAGTTGAAAGAGAATTCTCACTTGGGTGATTAGGTGATAAAGGTAAAAGGGTCTCTTTAGTAATATTAGGTAAAAGGTAAGGGTCTATTAAGGTAAAAGTGTCTCTTTAGTAATATGAAGATCCTCATTACTTTATTGCTATTGCCAGCCAAAATTCCTTGTCTCTACCTCTTGCCAGACTCACTCTGGAGGACTCATCTTTTCCTGGTTCCCATGCTGCCTCTAGGGCTTCATTTTCTGTGCTAAGTAGCAGTTAATTGGGTGAACAGAATCAAGATGTATTTCTGCCTTAGGACAAGAATTAACTTGGGGGAGCATTTCTATAAAATAATTAAATGGAACTTTAAAAAATGGTGGAAAGAGCCTTTTGGTTGGATTTTAGTTGAGTTTTTTCTTATTGGGTTAGGTCAGTAATTTGAAGAACTGATACTTCTTTCATCTTGATAAAAGTAGAGTGCTGAATTTAGACTGCAACTCCCTAAGATGGTCATATGGTATGACAGAGAGAGAGAGATGCTAACTCTGTAGATCTAAATGAATTTTTCTTTTTTTAATTTTTGTTTTTCAGAAAACGACGACTTATTTATGATGCCACGAATTGTTAATGTGACATCATTGGCCACAGAGGGAGGTTTGGTAGATATGGGTGGCAGCAAATATCCTCATGAAGTTCCTGATGGCAAGCCATCTGACCATCTGAAAGACACCGTCAGGAATGAAGATAATTCCTTAGAGGATAAGAGTAGAATCTCTTCCAGAGGAAACAGAGATGGCAGAGTGATGTTGGGTCCAACGCAGGTTTTTCTGGCAAACAAAGATTCTGGTTATCCACAAATAGTTGACGTTTCCAGTATGCAGAAAGCACAAGAGTTCTTACCTAAAAAGATTTCTGGTGATATGAGAGGGATTCAGTATAAATGGAAAGAGAGTGAATCAAGAGGGGAGAGAGTGAAGTCAAAGGAGTCTTCATTTCATAAATTAAAGATGAAAGATCTCAAGGACTCAAGCATAGAGATGGAACTGAGGAAAGTAACATCAGCTATAGAGGAAGCAGCTCTTGATTCCAGTGAACTGCTAACTAACATGGAAGATGAGGATGATACTGATGAGACACTGACTTCACTGCTCAATGAAATTGCCTTCCTTAATCAACAACTAAATGATGACTCTGTTAGCCTGGCTGAACTACCCAGCTCTATGGATACAGAGTTCCCAGGGGATGCTCGGCGGGCTTTTATCAGTAAGGTTACTTCTGGAAACAGAGCAGCTTTCCAGGTTGAGCACTTGGGAACTGGTTTGAAAGAGTTGCCTGATGTTCAAGGGGAGAGTGACTCTATCAGTCCCCTCCTCTTGCACTTGGAAGATGATGACTTTTCTGAGAATGAAAAACAACTTGCAGAACCAGCCTCTGAACCAGATGTCCTTAAGATTGTTATTGACTCTGAAATAAAGGATTCCCTCCTTTCCAACAAAAAAGCTATTGATGGAGGGAAGAATACTTCTGGCCTCCTTGCAGAGCCTGAAAGTGTGTCCTCACCCCCCACCCTACACATGAAGACTGGCCTGGAGAACAGCAACAGCACAGATACTTTGTGGAGGCCTATGCCAAAGTTGGCCCCTCTAGGTTTAAAAGTAGCTAATCCTTCCAGTGATGCAGATGGTCAGAGTCTCAAGGTGATGCCTTGTTTGGCACCTATAGCTGCCAAAGTTGGGTCAGTTGGACACAAAATGAACTTAACAGGGAATGACCCGGAAGGCCGGGAAAGCAAGGTGATGCCTACATTGGCACCTGTTGTGGCTAAATTGGGCAACTCGGGGGCCTCACCAAGTTCTGCAGGGAAATGAACTTACTTGTCCTTAAGCAGAAGCCAGGCTGTGAGGGGAAACTGATCTCACCTCCTTTCTCTGCAGGCATCTGTTTGTTTGTGTCTTGGAACTTGGATCCTTGACTTGGATGATGCAGTGGATAATGATGGGAGAAAGGGGGTAGGGTGCTGACCCTGGTATTAAGAAGTACTCTGAAATTCTGATCATGTTAAAATGTGTTACCTCACTTGTGGTGCTGGGTCCCCTCATCCTCTCTAAGAAGATGTGATCCATTACTGAACACGAGGTGCCCCTCTTACCCAAGGAATTTATAACAGGACTCTGGCTCCACAGTGATTTCTAGTTCTTCCCCCACAAGCGAAAGAGCTGTTTGCAACTTTGGAGTTGCTGTGGACTGAACTGTAGCTTGTAGCTGTTGAATTAAGTCTGAAATCTAAGGAATGTGATGGACTTGTGCAAAGGGATCCAGAAGAGATACTTTTTAGTTGATGTTTCAAGAATAGGGAGAGAGAGGATGTGTACCATGGAATACCAAAGTGAAGGACTTTGTGTCATTCAGCAAAATTTTCTTTTTTCATATCCCAAGTAGCTCCCATTCCCTCACCTTTTCAATCAGAATTAACAAATTCAAGCCTTTGGTAAAGTAGGGATGCTTTTAACTTTTACTATTAAGTTAAATATTTTGAGATCTTAAAAAAATAGTAGTTCTCCCTTATTATTTTTGTGGGCATTGAAAAGCTCATTTTGCAGTACCAGGGATTTTTACTGGGAATATATATTTTGGAGGTAGGCATAGAGGGAGCCCTACCCCTTCCACAAATTACGTCACTCAAGAGACGGCTAAAATAAAATGCATTATCCCCCCAGACCAGAGACAGTGGCCAAAATAAAAAATCATGGGGCTGGAAATTTCCCAAATCAAACCAGCCTCCTGGTGCTTGAAGGTTTCATTCACTATTACCTGCACAGGATGTAAAGAAAAGTCACAGTAGGCACTCTTTACCAGGGAAATAAGGCAGTATTTGAATCACAAGATATATTTTTTATCTGCAACCATGGATTCAATGATGTGTAGAGCTTTTTCACTCATTAGCTGTCAGGATATGAAGGACTGACAGTCTGTAAAGATATTTATATTTTTGTATAGTTGTTTTCATAGATTTCTCAAAGGCTGAAGTTTTCAACCTAGAAGATGAGATTTGTATTGAGTATAGAAATGATGTTTCCTATCTAGTTTGTAAATAATCATGGTGCACTTGAGGGGTCTCTTGGAAACTCCTGGGGGCAAGAATCACTATTCTGAAACTGTATAGACTGGGATTTAGCTGCTGCATTTTGCCTTTCTTAAATAATTATATTTTGGAATGTAACCCCTGTTCTGTCTTCATTGACAGGATTTGCTTGTGTTGTTACAACACTAACACAAGAGCTTCCAGTGCCTGGGCCGTGCCTAGGTGATGCTATTTCTTCTATATCTCCTGTCTTGTTTATCCCAAATCCCACTCAGCGTATCTTCAGACCTAGGTTGTGAGACCAACTTTGGATTGGATCTAGCCAGTGAATTATTATTTCCATGGTTGGTTCCCTGTTAACTCTGGTAATCAACAGATTGAAAACGGTGGAAGAACTTCCTCTGCAAATTGCAGTGGGAGCAAATTCTTGTTGGTTTTGTGCTGCTTGCCTTTCTAGATCTGCTCATCAGCACTTAACCTTCCCTCCTCTAAAGGTTACTAAAGAAGCTTGAAGTAGGTAAAGAGTGCTCCTCAGCTTCTCATTATCCTTCCACTCTTTACCCAGCAGATTTCATTCAATGCCTTAGCCAAGGAATCCAGCACCTGTCTCCCCTGCTAATAATTGTCCTTAGAGATGCTAGTACTTTAATTCAGGTATAGCAGTTTCCCATTATTTTCTTGCTTGTCTTTTCCCTACATTTCCTCCTGATTTCCCAAGGCTCTTTTTGTGGCTTTTGAGGGTCAGCCAAGGAGCAGGCAAGTGAGTGAACAATCCTCAGGAAAAGAAGGACCATTTTAGCTTAACACTTCCTTTTTTTTTTTTTAAAGAAGAAAATAGGTAAATAGGTAATGATTCTTGATTGGAGATACTTGACTCTTGATGAGAGTTGTATGAAGATGGAAATGAGGGATGATTCCAGGCGTTTTAGGGGGAAGGCTGCAGATATCATTCTAACCCCCAAGATACTGTGTTCTCAAGACCTCTTAGAGCTAGGTGTTGTCAGGGATAATTTGAGGAGGGCTTAGTCTTCAGAACAATCCTGCAGTCTTGACAGAAATCTAAAATCTCCAAAAACTCCTACCCTTTAACCTTACCCTAGGGGGAACTGATCTATGAATATTACATGTGTGATTATGAAAGGTGAAGTTGAGTGAGAGGAGTTGAGGAACGTGGAAGACAGTGAGCTCTCACCCTAACACTATAAGAAGCATGATCTCAGTAGACCAATAATTCGCCTTTTTATACATCTGTAAATAAATGGAATGTTTTTAAGAATATAATTATGTCAGATTTAGCATTTTCTTTTATATATTAAATATATATATCTTTCCTTTTCTGCTTTCGAAAAGTGACTATTTTTTTAGAAATCTAAGAACAGAAGTTTGGTGATTGAAAGGTAGACTATATAAACCTGAAATAAATCAGTTAAAATAATTAAAGCAGAACTTGGTGTTGGGAGGTTTGTGCCAACTTGGAGTAGAGAAATCTAATTCCCTAAGACATATTCAAGAGAGCTGCCACTGAAGTGGTTTTATCATAGGAATCCTTTCCTTTTCTCAAAGTTTCTGATACGCCATTTGGGGGAGGTTTTTGGTATTCTAATCCTTGTAGCATGTTTTACATGGAGGCTTCAAAATTGTGTGCAACCTGATGGCAAGTATTTGTTTTAGAAGTCATTCTAAAATCATTCTAGTGTCAGTATGAGCAAGGCAGTTTACCTGTTAACCTCGGGGAGTAAAGGTACACAAACACAGTCTTAGTGGTAAAGGACAGTAGGTGTTCTTAAGGGAGGATATGTTAAAGGGTTTGACAGTTAACAAAAATGTTTAAAGGAATCCTTTAGACATCCAACTACTCTTAATCTATTAAGGTCACTAACAGATCAAGTCCAGTTATATAAGCTTCATACAAATTGTTCACTTTGTGTAATTTTATAGTAAATGCAGTAGTTTTTTCCTGGAATTATGAAATCCCTGATGCTAGGCTCTTCCAAAGTTTGAAAATGTTTTGAACACACAAGACAGACAACCCGTGTTATTTTGGGTTTAGTGGTTTAGATAATTTTTTTTCTTTTTTTTGGAGACGGAGTCTCGCTTTGTTGCCCAGGCTGGAGTGCAGTGGCACGATCTCGGCTCACTGCAAGCTCCGCCTCCTGGGTTCACGCCATTCTCCTGCCTCAGCCTCCCGAGTAGCTGGGACTACAGGGCCCGCCACCACGCCTGGCTAATTTTTTTGTATTTTTAGTAGAGACGGGGTTTAACCGTGTTAGCCAGGATGGTCTCAATCTCCTGATCTTGTGATCCGCCTGGCTCGGCCTCCCAAAGTGCTGGGATTACAGGCGTGAGCCTCCGTGCCTGGCCTACTAATGAAATTTTACATGGACACAAATATCTAGGTGCAGAGAAAATTAAGGCTAAGATACTCAGACTCACTGCCAGTTGGAGGAAAAAAATCAGTTAAAATGCATTTTTTTGGAATAGAGGGAAATAATTTGGTAAGTACAACTTTTTATTTGAGGCATAGCTAATATTACATGACTGAGCTGCTCTTACACATAAGTGTTGAGTAGAATAGTGATGGTAGTGCATTAAGAGGATGGGAAGACTATGGGATGAGTTGGAAATTTTGAGACAAATCTAAACTCTACTAATTTCTATTGTAAACTGCTGGTAGAAAAGATAATAGGAAAGCAGTCTTGGAAGTATGGTTTTGAGATCCATTCTGTTTCCAACTGCAATCATTGGTCTCAGCTGTTGCACAGTGCCTTGCATGTAAAGGTGCTCAATAAATATTTGAATTGATGAGCAAATGTTTAGCCTGTTTCCCAGGATCTTATAATTGTACCATATTTGCATGTTATGCCTAGGGTGAATTTTAAAATTTGATCTAATGAGTATAGTGCTAAACAGAACTATATAACATCTATTCCCAGACATCTAGAATTTCAGAAGCTGGCAAACACTATGTATAGATGTTTAGGACATATAAAAGCAGAATAAAGTGTTAAATAGTGTATGGATGATGAAATACGAAGAGTTAACTGCATTTTGGAGGATTGGGATTGCAAGTAGAGTCTTGCGTCACTTAATGATGGGGATATGTTCTGAGAAATGCAGCTTGGGTGGTTTTGTTCTGCAAACATCATAGAGTAGACTATACTTACACAAACCTAGATAGTGTCACTTAACCACACATTTAGGCTATGTTGCTCCTAGGCTACAAATCTGTACAGCATGTTACTGCACTGAATATCATAGGCAGTTTTAACACATGGTAAGTGTGTGTCTACACATAGGAAAGGTACAGTAAAAATATGGTATTATAATTTAATGGGATCATGTGGTCATTGAAATGTATACAATGGCTGTAAATCTGAGTGGAGAAAAGTGAATAATGCTTCTGTTCACATTAGACCTGGGACTGTTATTTTCTGAGGAATTCATGAAGAATGGGAATAGCCTATAGCCTATTTCTATATTGGTATCTCAAAGGCAGCATAGTACCTAGACAATAAAAGTTGGACTGAATTGTGAAGAATTAAAAATGTGTGGGTCGGGCGTGGTGGCTCACACCTGTAATCCCAGCACTTTGGGAGGCCAAGGCGGGCAGATCGTGAGCCGGAGATCGAGACCTCCTGGCCAACATGGTGAAACCCTGTCTTTACTAAAAATACAAAAATTAACTGGGCATGGTGGCGCGTGCCTGTAATCCCAGCTACTTGGGAGGCTGAGGCAGGAGAATGGCTTGAACCCGGGAGTGGGAGATTGCAGTGAGCTGAGATCACCACTGCACTCCAGCCTGGCGACAGAGTGAGGCTCTGTTTAAAAAAAAAAAAAAAAAAAAAAAAAAAAAAAGTGTGGCTTTGGCCTAAGACAGAAAGTACCCAGGTTTCAGACTTAAGAAATCCTCATTACACTGCTTTCAGTTGTTTTTCATGAAAGAAATGACCAATGATACTTCGTAAACCATTTACCTGGCCATGAGTGATTAGGTGAGAAAACCGTTAGTGGACACCAGAATGATCTGGAGAGGATTAGGGATGGCTCTGGGCACATTTTTACTCTAGTTTAATGCGTGGAGATGGCAGCTGCTGTGGTCTGCAGCATGCAAGTAAAGACACCAGGTGGCACCATTTATTAGCTTTTACTCCCATGGAGAGGTTGCATCATGTAACTAGCAAGAGGTTGAGGGAACCAACTCTCTTGCATATTGTAGCTAATGGTTCTTGCCTTCTTCCTCCAGACTTGGGAAATAAATGTGAAAATCGTATTTTATGTTTCATAATATTTGCAGTTGCATGGTTGAAGGGAAGAAGGCCACATGTTATTGCCAGTTGGTCTTCCAGGAGATGACATGCATCATCTCCAAGTCAACTTGTGAGCTTTACAAATCTCATTTTTAGTATGTGGCTACAGTATACACAAGCACATATGTGCTTTGCCACTTGGCTGTACAAGGCTCACCATTGTACACAAGCAATGAGTTTAGGGGTTCTTCCCTCTTGCTATCACATGTCTTCTCCACAGGGCTGCAAAAGATCTGGGTAGGGTGAGACAGACCAGTGTAGTATTCCCTTGGGTCCCTTGTCTTTGGCTTAGGCTTTTTCATAAGGTATAATAATTTCTTAGAGGTTCTTCCCTCTTGCAGACACATGTCATCTCCACAGGGATTCAAAAGATCTGGATAGGGTGAGACGGACACACCAGTGTACTATTCCCTTGGGGCCCAAGTCTCTGGGTTAGGCTTTTTCATAATTTCTTATGGTAGTAAGTGGAGAATACAGAGGAAATACATATTTCATGTAACATTTCCGTGTATTCCCTCTGCCTCCCCCAACATGAGTTAGAAAAACTACCCCTCGATCTAGTATCAGCAAGCTCAACAGTGACCTCAGCAAGGAACAGCCCTAGAGAAAAGGATTCACAAGTAAATGGAACGAGGAAAGATCTGGAGCAACGAAGTGCTGCTGGTCAGCTTTAGCTGAGGAAGCACAATGGGACGTCGGAGGCTAAAGAAACCATGAAACCTGCAGTATTATTAACATAGCACATTCACTTGTCTTCTCTTGCCCCCGCACGCCCAAAGCTCTGTTCGAGGCCACCCTTTCCCCTTTCATAATGACCAATCAGGTTGCCCAGTGCAAAAACACTATTAAATTCTTAGCTATTAAATTGCGTTATTCAGAATAATCCTTTCCACGTTGAGTCTACGTGCCGCACTGGCTGCGAGCAGAAACTACTTCAGGCGCTTTAAATCTCAACCCTTGTGGTCGCTGGGAGCAGAGCTCTTAGGCTGTAGCTCAGTCTTGTAATTCTGAGCTACGAGTTTCAGCTACGGTCCCTCGGGCCTATCAAATGGCAACCTTAACACTCTGGAGGCGTGGTTATCGTCTTGGGGCTCTGGGAAGTGCAGTTACATGGGGGACCAGGCCTGATAATACCATAAAAGGCTTGGTTCTCTCAATTCTGAAGCCATGTTCTGTTGACCTTCCTCTAAAAGCGGTACCCGCAATTGTGCGGATTCAGTGGTTCTCTAGTCCCAAGCCGTCTGCTTCCTGGGCCCTTTCATTGGCTCCGCCCCCGTAAATCTTGCTCGTCCACTCTGGAAGCGCTCTCCTGACTACAGGCCGCGCCCCTCGCATCGGCTCCGCCCACCTGGCGCGCAGCCTGGCCCAGGCGGTAGTTCGCGTTTTGAGCCGATCGTGCCACCATAGCTCCTGCTGCTGCTTCTACCACTGCCGCTATAGCGGCGGAGCTGAAATTGCCGAACGCGATGCCCGAGGGCGCTGTGAGCGGGGTGGCCCTCGCTCGCCGAGGCTGGTGAGGCTGGCCCGAACGGGGGCGCTGACGAGTAGCAGGGGCCTCAGAGGCGGGTGAAAGATAAAGGTCCAAAGCCGCTGTGGAGGGCGGAGAGCGAGCTCTGGAGGATAGGGAGTGGGGGAGGGAGGCTCCCGTGGCAGAACGAGTTGTGGGCTGCGGCGAGCCCCGCCGCGCCGAGTCCCCACCCGCGCTAGCGCAGGTGTCCAGGCCTGCGGAAATCCCTGGTGGTCTCGGCGGCCTCCTCGGTTGGACTCCACAGTTGCCATGGGAGCAGTTGGGCATTAACGGGAACCAGATCGTCCACGAGACCAACTAGGTCCCATCCATCTCGCCAGTTAAACGCCTCTGGCGGGCGTGGGCCTGGCATTTCTTAGTGGCTTAGGATTTCCCCCCTTTTTCGTGAGCCTTTCCTTCCGACGTTGCAAGAAACTGTGCAGGGCTAGAAGGTGGGGGTGAGGAAAATGGTGAGAGCAATACCCAGAGGTAAAAACTGCAGACTTCGCTAGGCAGAAGGTAAGACACTGTTATACTTGGCTTCTGCCATCTCAGGTCAGTGAGAGGGCATATTGGGAAGCCCTGTGGAGTGGGAAGACAGTGCCGCTGTTGAGACAAGACCCAGGACTGTGCCGGGGACTGTCCCAAGGGGTTTCTCGTCATAATGGCTGTGGAAGGGTCAACCATTACCAGCCGGATCAAGAATCTGTTGAGATCTCCATCCATCAAACTGCGCAGGAATAAGGCAGGAAACCGACGAGAGGACCTCAGCTCCAAGGTGAGTCCTGTTGGAAGCCACCTGTTTCCAAACCCACCCTCTCCTGCTCAATGTTCCTCGTTAACCTTCCTGTTTCTTGGGAAAGATAACTAGAAGCTCTTGTTTACTCTAAAGGATCACATGTGATCTGTGCAGGCAATTTAGGTTGAAGGAAAAAGCAGCAGGGGTGGGCATGCTGAGATTCATCCATGAGAAGAGGTGAATAGTAGGAAGGCCACCTGGGTTCAATTGAGGCCTCACTATACACTAAGCATGTGCTTGGGAAGCCGGTTGATATGCTATGACTCAGTTTCCCTTCTTGGGAAAGGACAGTAGGAACACATACCTTGTGAAGGGCTAAGGTGTGACTAATGTAGCTGCAGGTGTTAATGTAACAGCTGGGGTTATGTAAGACTGCAGTGGCAGAAAGAAATAGCTAAAACACCTAGTCAGAGTTACTGGCTTGGTAATTGCTCTTGCCTAGGGTCAAAACAAATTTTTTTTTGGCCCTTCAAGAGGCTAACTGGAGCATCTTGGCTTCTTAGGAATGATAACATGCAAGAAGCCAGATATCTGTCAGCAAAAAGTTCTGGATGGCCCTTGAGCATTGCTTATCTCATTCACTGTATGCCAAGAGCCACATGCCACTCAGCTGCAGATGATCCTCAGAGGCGAAGTTCCTTTCCATCCCTTCACTTGTCTGGGTTTTGGTCCTTATGCTTTCTTCAACTAAATAAACCCCACAACTTTGGGAACCCAGAAGTAGACTACATTTGTTTAATCACTTGAGACCAGGGCTTTATTCCCACAGGATCAGATCAGATTTTGTGTCTTATTAGTAGCCTGTAAACACAATAGCCTTGTGAGGTACGAGGTTGTTACTGGGAGAGGCATTTGAGACCACAGCATTGTATTGCTTTGCCTGTATCTCTTCAGTGATGAGTAAATCCCATGAGGAATGATTTAGAATGCCACTGTACAACTGGCAGGGTTCTGGGAGGACTTAGTTCAGCCCTGTATTCATTAGCAGAACCTGGAGTAGGTTTGGTAAGAAGGTGAAGAACTTTCCTGTATATTTCAGCAGAAGTTGTGTTGAATCACAGTTTGCTACAAGGTTTTGTGATCGGTGGACATTGTGACCCTTCCAAGGTCTCTTATTCATCATTGTTTCTATTCTCCTGAGGCAGGCAAATAAGCCTGAAATGTAGAAATTGTTTTAGATATGACTCTGTTCATTCTTAATACTGCAAGTGCTCTTATTCTTGGCTGGTAACTTGGCAGTGATCAGCACTGTTAGAACAATCTTCTCAAATCTTTGGCCTCTTTTTCTGGCCAGGAGTGGTGTATGTAGTAGAAATGTATAATAAAAGTTTAGCCTTCATTGTTAATTCTTACTGTAATTTTGGTCTGGAATCCAGAAAGTATGTTGCCATTCTTTAAGACTTCCAATATCACCCATTATTAATGCATTTAACAAGTGTTTATTGAGTGCCTATTAAGTGTGCAATCAGTTATGGGTAAAACATTACCCTTGCCATCAAAGAGCTTATGGCTAGTCAGACATGTAAAGAATTAAAACACAGTGTGGTTAAGTGCTGCTCTAGAAGTATGTGTACGTTGTTAATGGAAGCACAAGGGAGGCAACCTAACTCAGTTTAGAGGAATTAGGAAAGGCTTCACAGGCTGGTCATGGTGGCTCACCCCTGTAATCTCAGCACTTTGGGGGGCCAAGGCGGGTGGATCACTATGTCAGGAGTTCGAGACCAGCATGGTCAAGATGGTGAAACCTGGTCTCTACTAAAAATACAAAAATTAGCCAGGCGTGGTGGTGCACGCCTGTAATCCCAGCTACTTGGGAGGCTGAGGCAGGAGAATTGCTCAAACCCAGGAGGCCGAGGTTGCAGTAAGCTGAGATCCCGCCAGTACACTCTAGCCTGCATAACAGAGCAAAACTCTATCTCAAAAAAAAAAAAAAAAAAAAAAGGAAAGGCTTCATAGAGGAAGGGATGCTTGAACTGTGAGTCCTAAGGCAGGTGGAGAAGAGCTCTCCAGGAAAACAGTGGAAAAGGGGCATCCCTGGCAAGACCATTTACCCATTCCCTGTTTAAAATAGGAATTCAGTGCTTCAGACTGCTTTAGATGGCTTTGTCTGTCCTGAAGCTGTGTATGAAATACTTAGCTGAAGTTGAATGACCCTTGAATGGTCTGGCAGCAAAATGACTGGTGCATATCTTTAGCACCCAAGAGGCGTAGCTGTCTTTGTGTGCCCAGGACCCTAGAGATGCCAGACTCCCCACACTCCTTAGTAAAAGGTCTCTACCTAAGATTATTCTAAAAGCCTGCCTTGTGATTACTCTAGTGTATTAAGCTCTGTGGACCAGGCGTATTAAGCTCTGTGAGTTGCTCTAATATGTGGTGGCTGTGGGTAATCAGGATAAAAGGAAATTTGTGATTCATGGATAGCTAATTCTCAAATAAAATTTGAAGACAAAAAGGCACACGCCCCTTTTGGGGGGCAAAGAAGGAAATGTCAGAAAGCCTTTATGCAGCTCTTACTTCAGATTGCCTCCTGCTTTGAATTATACTATTGTTTCTATCTAAAGTAGCCTTCTCCTTTACACCAAATTCTACACTTATTTTTAGGTCCAATTCTGTATTTATCAGAGCCACAGGGCTTTCTGTGACTAGCCCCCGACCTTGAAACCAATATCTTATTGTTGTTTTATGTATGTCTTCATTTCCTAAGGATCGGGGTCATGTTCATTATTTCCTTTACATCACACCGTTTAGGACAGTGTAAAATAGGCAGTAAGTACTTAAAAAAAAAAAAGAATAATTTAAAGATGTCAAATATAGTGCGGGATAAACTTGGACATCTAGGTGAATAAAATAATCAGGACGAATTTATGACCTCTTTAGAAGAGAAATCAAAACTAGGATTAATGAAAAGGTGACAAAGAAGTAGAGATGCAACCTAATTAGGTGTGAAGGACGTAAGAGAGAAGAAGTCCACGTATGTAGAAAGCAGTGCTCTAGTAAAGGGTTCTTAATTCAGGAGAAACCTAGTTAAAAATATGGCTAAATGCTGGTGTGCGAGAGCCAGTGGAGGTGGAGATTTAAGTTACAGCAAAGAGAGTAGATGAGTGCTGAGATTTTCATTAAGGTTTTTCGAAGGGAGGGAAGTCTCTTCAGTGGAGTACATTGGAAAAGACTGATTTAAAGTTTTATATTAAATCAGCTTAGTCTTGGTGAAGTGTGACTTGAAGTTACCAGTAAAGCCCCAAGTTCAGATCCTGTAGACATGTCAATTCCTGCCTCTCATCTCTAAGTTGGGGTGTGTTTTCCTTAAGAAGCAAATGTGTGTGATCTTGGTAGCTAACCCTCCTCCTCTTAGAAGTTTCTGAAAGATTTTTATGTGGAGGGAGCTGGGCTTGTTTTCAAGGACAAAGGACAGAAATGGACCGAAGCCCAGCAGGCAAGATTTAAGTTAGGGTTACAAAAGGATTGTCTGCGCTGGAGGGTTGCTAGATTTTTAAAAAGTAACCGAAGGAGGTGTTGAGATCTTCCTCCTTAAGAGCCATTAATCTGATCTAGGTTATATTATTCCTTCTGGAAACAATGGATAAGACGACTTTCTTCTAGTTGTGTTTTTTTAATTGTAAATCTAATTCTTCTTTCTCTATTTTTGTCTCCAAGTTTTTTTCCTGTATAGTTGTGTAGTGGTACTTCGAGCTTGAGCCACCACGTCCAGCCAGTTATTTTTGTTTTTTGTAGAGACAGAGTCTCACTCTGTTGCCCAGGCTGGTCTCGAACTCCAGGCCTCAAGGGATCCTCCTGCCGCAGCCTCTCAAAGTGCTGGGATTACAGCCATGAACCACCATGCCCAGCTCCTGCCTTACTTTCTGAGTAGCTGGGACTAGCGGTGCTCGCCTCTGTGCCAGGCTCCAGGGAACACGCTCTGAGCTCTCCACATAGAATAGATGACTAAGAGTGGATGTCGCTGTGGCCAGCAGCTATGCCCCTCATCACCCTTTGTGAATGACCTTGGTCAAGCTCTTGTTGAATTTTCTCTCTCAGATCTCTTGAAATAAGGCTTGTGAAGTGTCTTGAGATCCTCACAACAGGTGGTATACAATGAAAAATGTCAGTGTTCTCCTAGTTTTGTTTCTTTGATCTCCATTTCATTCCTCCTTCCGGTGCCTGCAGCTGCCCTCAGCCTTCAAAGTGATTCTCATTGGAGAGAGAGGATGCATCTCTCCCTGCACCCAATACCTCTTCCTTTACTGTCTAAAAATAGCCCAGCCTCTTCAGGCTAGGAGTTGTCTTTCGAAACCTCTTCTCACCTACTTGGCCTCACTCATTTCAGAGTGGAACAGCACTGCTGCTTTCCAAGTTTTTCTCTCTTCCAGTTTGCAATTTAGGGCAGGTTCCCCTCTTGGATTTGAGTCAATGTCTTATTTCCTGCTGGTATTTTGAATGTCTTCCATTTGTCACCTGTGTATTTTTATTTCTTGACTAGTGAAAAAACAGGTAGAAATGAGGCTTTGGCCTGACCTCTGTGACCTCCGCACCAACCCCCTGATCTGAAGTTGGGCTTGATGCTGTTATCACTGACCCTTTGTTTGGAGAAAACAGTCCAGGGCTTGAAATTGGGGCTATGTTTATTCAAACTAAGCTTCTATGAGCACATGGTCTGCCCCACTCATCCTCAGAGTATCTGTTGGTTTTACTTCATGTTCAGACTGCAGTGTTGTTAAAGAAATAAAGCTACAGTGTTTTCAGAAGGATTTGTTATGTTATACTTCGCATTCCCACTGTTGCAGGCTAAGCCTCTCCTCTGGGCTCCATTGTTTAGTGCAGGACAAAGCCAGGTTTTCTGGCAGCTTCCTTTTCATAGCAATTCTCAGTAGGGGTGTAGAATGAGACCTGCCCACCTTCTTGGCTGTTTATTACCCCATTTGTGGATTTTACTTTAACTTCTGTTACCTTTAAAAAAAAAAAAAAAGGTGGGTGAGGAAGGC